TGTTGACTGTGGAACTGAACAAGTTGAAATTGTTAACAGTCTCAATCTTTTTTCCACCCATCAAGGTTCTGCTAATTGGCTGAGTGGTGAGAGTCTTTGTCTTCTTGATGTTGAGCTTTAATCCATATTGAAGACTACTGTCCTTGACCTTTTGTAGCAAACACTTCCTGTCCTCCTCAGTTAAAGCAAGAAAGATTGAGCCATCTGTATAATGCAGGTTGTTGATGAATCTTCCTCCAATCCTGATGTTACATTCCTCTTCATAAAGCCCAACATTCCAAATGGTGTGTATATAGATTGTAAAGATATGGAGACAAGGACACATCTCTGACACACTCCTTCCCTAATCTTGAAACATATAGTGTTTCCTTACTCTGTTCTGATGACTACTTCCTCGTCCAAACATAGATGTCACGTGAGTGCAATCAGGTGTTCTTGGAATCCCATTCTTCTCAACATTAGCCACAATTTGTTATGATCCATATAGTCAAATGCTTTAGCATAGTCAAGGAAATACTCATAGACATTCTGGTATTCTGTGCTCTCGGCCAAGATCCAAATAGCATTGGCTATGATGTCCCTAGTACCATGACGTCTTCTGAACCCAGCTTCTGTTTCTGGTAGTTTCTGCCAATGCGTGTTCCAGTTGTTTTTGGATACTCTTCATCAGGATTTTGCTTGTGTTTGATATTAGTGCTATTGTTTGATAATTTCCACACTATGTCAGGTCACCTTTTTTGCAATGAGAATGCATTAGGTAACTCTTCTCCAAAGTGCCAATTTAAAGTGCTAAGGATCAAAGGATGTCACTTTGAGAGCAAAGATGTGCCTGACTCAAGCTGTAGTATTTCCAATCATATGTGCATGCAAGGTCTGAACAATAAGTAAGAAGAACTAAAGACAAATTGTTGTGTGATGTCAAGTAAGAGCAGACCCATAGCTGACACACCAGTAGATTTTCAGAGGCAGTAACTCACATGGGAAGGCATTGCCCATTCTTCTGCAGAAAAATTGGTGGATTTGAACTATATGTCTTTCAGAGTGCAGCACTGCTTCTTACTACTATACCACTAGAGATCCAAAGAAGAATTAATAGCTTTGTTGGTGAAGAATATGGAATATATCATATTGTTGTTGTTGTTATGTGCCATCGAGTCGCTTGCGACTCATAGCGACCCTATGTACAAGAGCTCTAAATGCTATTCTATCCTGTGCCAACTTAGCCATCTCAAATGCACTTATTCCCACCGCTCCAGTCACAGAATCAATCCATCTCATCAAAGGTCTTCCTCTCCTTTGCCACCCCTCCACTCTGCCAAACATGATGTCCCTCTCCAAGGACCAGTCCCTCCTTGCAACATGCCCAAAATATGTCAGACGAAGCTTCAGAATCCTTGACTCCAGGGAACACTCTGGCTTCACCCTCTCCAGGACAAACTGTTTGTTCTCCTAGCAGTCCATGGTATATTCAACACTCGTCTCCAGCACCACAGCTCAAAAGCATCAATCCTCTTTCTATCAACCCTATTCACTGTCCAACTCTCCAATGCATAGCACATAATTGCAAAGACTATAGCTCGGATCAGGCACAACTTAGTCTCCAGCCTGACATCGTCGCTCTTCAGTACTCTTGAGACGTCTCTCATAGATGACTCCCAGTGCAATTCATCTCTTGATTTCCTGGCTGCTGTTACCAAGAGTGTTGACTGTGGAGCCAAGTAAATTAAAACTGTTAACTATCTCAATCTCTTCACCATCCATGCTGATGCTGCCAATTGGCCCATTGGTGAGAATCTTTGTTTTTTTGACGTTGAGCTTCAGTCCATATAGGAGGCTGTAGTCCTTGATCTTCTGCAGCAAGGGCTTCAGGTCCTCCTCAGTTTCAGCAAGCAGGGTTGTGCCATCTGCATAACGCAGGTTGTTGATGATTCTTCCACCAATCCTGATGCCACATTCCTCTTCGTATAGCCCAGCATCTCGGATGATCTGTTCTGCATACAGATTGAAAAGGTATGGAGACAGAATACATCCCTGACGAACCCCCTTCTTGATTTTGAACCATGTAGTGTCTCCTTGCTCTGTTCTGACAACTGCCTCTTGGTCCAAGTATAAGTTTTGTATTAGCACAATCAAATGTTCTGGGATTCCCATTCTTCTCAGAGTCAGCCACAGCTTGTTGTGATCCACACAGTCAAAAGCCTTCGCATAGTCAATGAAGCACAGATAGACATTCTTCTGGTATTCTTTGTTTTCTGCTAAGATCAATCTAACATCAGCTATAATATTCCTAGTACCACGACTTCTTCTAAATCCAGCCTGCACATCTGACAGTTCTCTGTTGACATATTGTTCCAAACGTTTTTGGATAATTTTCAGCAGAATCTTGCTTGCATGTGATATCAATGATATTGTTTGATAATTTTCACACTCTGTTGGGTCATCTTTCTGCTAAAGAATAAACAAATCTGTCTTGAGATAAGTATCATCAGAACAATGTTCCTTAGAAGGGCAGATGGCAAGACTTCATCTTAGATACTATGGACATGTTTTCAGGAGAGAAGAGTCCCCCACTGAAGAACACTATGGTCAGTAAAGTAGATGCTCAGTCAAAAAAATATTAAAAAATGAGACAGACTCTTAATGAGATGGGTTGACACAGTGGCTGCCACAATAGGCTCATTCATAGTCGTGGATGGTACAGGACCAATCAGTACTTCTCTCTACTATACACTGAGTAGATATGAGTTGAAGCCAACTTGATAACACCTGACAGCAGCAATGTAAGTCTGGATATTTAGAAATGAGCTTAAATAACTCATAGGTCAAAGAAAGTGTCATAGAAAATTAGAAAATATTTAGAACTGAAAAACAATAAAAATACCAAAGAATGAATTTTGTGTGATGGGAAAAGACTTTCCATAATGGTAAATATCCACAAAAAAAATATCATTTTCTAAAAATATAATGGGAACACTATAAAAAAACCCACAAAAACAGTCAAAATTAACTTTTCCCAAACACTGGAAATTAATAAAAATCTTGCAACAGTTCAAGAAACTATTTAAGAAGAAGGTCTGAATCTCAGTAAGATCAGAGGCTTTGTGGTTTTATTACATGCTCTATTCCTGTCCATGTTCTTCTTAGTTGTACAGTGATCTTAAAAATCAATAACCTCACAATCATGATTCCTCTGTGAAAACCAATAGGCTAGCAGCCACTGGAGGACACACACGGGGCTTGGTGCTCTCTCAAGAAGTCCCATTTACAAAGGATTGTTGTTATTTGACCTATCTGGAAACTCCCTGGAAACCCTGATTTAGAATTCATCCGATGACTATTTTTAGAAGTAGATCATCAGTAATCCTGATCTTTTTTTATAGTGTTTAGTTTTGTTTCACATTCTGAGGGAACAGCATAAACCCCATATTTTTAAAAAAACAAAACCATTAATACCAGAAGCAGAAGCGGGCCATAAAAATCCTTAGCTTAAAGCAAACACAAATGTGCCAGGTAAAGTCTTATCTGTCCTTGCAAAGTAAAGAATTAACTAGTGTCTACGTGACACAAAAAGAGTAAAGGCGGGCAAAGTAACCAGCCCATCAAAAGCCGACCCACATGATTTATACCCCAGCCCACCAACCATGCTTCCAATCTCCCCGCCCCAACAGTAGCACCAGGAAGGCCTTAAAAACAGTTGGGTGGAAGGGACTCATGGCTTTTTCCCTCACCACCTAACAACAACAACAACCTTCCTGTTGAGAGAGAAAGTCTCCACATGTGGATTTTCTCTAAAATAAAGTGATAAAGTGCTTTTTGTATTTACATACATGTGGATTATTCTTTTGAGGGGTATTTCACGGACAAAACAATTCTTATCCTGCTTTGTCCAGGACCTTTTGTGATCCCTTTGAGAGTGGTCAGCAGTGGTAGCTGGATGCTATCTAGTTGTTCAAGTCTTAGGTTTCTGGAATCTGAGGTCCTTTGGACTAATTGTTCCCATGAATCTTGTACTTTCTTCACTTTTCTTTGCTTGGAATGGGTACAGACGAATAGTCATAAGTTAGATGGCTACTCAAAAGCTGTTACTATTCTAGACATTACTCACCACAGCAGTTGTAGAACATTGTTTCTACTGACTACATTCTGTAAGTTAACTGATGTTTCTCAAGATAGTGACAAATTTTTCTTCTAAGGAGTCTTCAGTGAACTCAAATCTCCAATCTTTCAATTTGCAATACCACTTTGGACTCCATAGTAATGATAATGAAGACTTTATCTTACCCATTATATTGTGAGGCTTAAATTACTACCTTTCTTGGTGATGACAGTCTCAGATGGAGCTGTTTCTGATTTTTGCTGAGAAGTAGATTCTATTAAATCTCCACTATGAGGGCTTGCTAGCATTTCAGAAGGAAGACAAACAGGACCTGAATCAGGGCTACTGCTCACAGTACCATCTGCAAAAAGAATCTAGAGAGAGAAAAAAATCTTAGAATCTCAAAACCAATGAAGAGACTAGTTAACAATGAACACTTTTTACAAATGGAAATACATTAAAATTTATCTAGAGTATAAATATCATGTGCAGGTTCCCAGTCAGAGCATGAAGCCTAGTACAGTAAAGGATAATAACTTCACAATCAGCACATCATCCTCCATTTACTTCCTCTTCTTCCTATTGTCCTTTGACTGACTTAAATCAGACTTCCCGCTTGTCCCCTTCTTCATCCTCATAAGAAGTAAGAAATGATCAATTTTATTTCAATCTTTCTAAAAGTTACTATTAAAGTTTTAGCATGCATATTTAAGTACTTTCTCTATGTCAACATATGTCTGGTGTCTAAAATAGCTATGTAGCTGTTGTTAGATGCCAAAGAGTTAACTACAACTCATAGCGACCCTATGAACAAAAGATCTGAACCCTGACCTATCCTGTTTCATCCTCAACATCGCTGACACACTTGAGCCCACTGTCACTGTTACCACTGTTAATCCACCTGGTTGAGGGTCTTCCTCCCTTCCTCCCATCACTGACCCTTCTCCTTTCCCAGCATGATGTCCTTTTTCAAGTACTGGCCTCTTCCTAACAACATGCTCAAAGTATGCAAAATAAAATTTCACTATCCTTCCCTCCAAAGAGCACCCTGGCTGCTTTACAATACATAATTTTTGTTCTCTCAGCAGTTCATGGGATAATTAGTACTCTTCTCCAGCACCACAACTCAAAGTTGTCAATTCTGTCATCCTTATTCACGGTCCAACTCTCTGATGCATAGCAAGTTATTGAAAATACCATGGCTTTAATCAGATGCACTTTAATCTTTTAACTGACATCCTTGCTCTTCAGTACTTTGGAGACATCCCTGACTATAGACTTTCAACATATCTTTTGATTTCCTGATTGTTGGTACCAATATTATTGCTTATAAATGCAAGTAACATGAAATCATTGAAAATTTATATCTTTTTTAATCTATCATGATGTTGCCTAATGGCTCAGTGGTGAAGATTTTTGTTTTTTCAGTCTTGAGATGTAATCTGTATTGAAGGTTGTAGTCTTTGATCTTCTGCAGAAAGTGTTTCAAGTCCTTCTCACTTTCTGCAAGTAAGGTTGTGCCATCTGCATGATGCATGTTATAGATGAGTCTTCCACCAATCCTGGTGCCACATTCTTCTTCATAAAGTTCAGCTACTTGAATGATTTTCAGCAGAGAGATAGGAAGGATACACCTCTGTTGCACATTTTCCTCTATTTTAAACTTTGCAGTGTTCCCTTACTTTGTTCAGACATCAGTTTCTTGATCTAGGTATGGGTTTTGCATTAGTACAATTAAGTGTTCTGGGATTCCCCTTCTTGTAAATGTTACCTACAATTTGTTATAATCCACACAGTCAAATGACTTTGCATAATATAAAATATCTATAGGTACTACATACACATCTCTAGCTCTCAGATATATATGACAAGAATTTCAGAATTGTCACGTCTGTGCTAGTAGTGAGACGACTGATGCCCTTTTGTTACTAAGGAAACTGGTTTTTTTTAGGTAACAGTTACTTTAGGTAACTGGTTGATTGATGAAGTTCTAAATACACTAATATATACTTAGATGTAGATGTCTTAAAGGTAACTAATATAAACTCTGGTCATCACTTGATAGCCCTGTTTCATCTGAAGCTTTATTTTTAGCTCTTACATTCTTTTTTACCCATTCATTCACATTATTTCTTCTTTAGAAATTACATTGAACAGATTTCTTCTTCAAGTGTTAACTTTTCTTTCCCTCCTAATCTCTCTTTAATCTTTCAGAAGCATTATTTTTAATTTCTAAGAACTCTTGATCCTTTCTCATACCAACTTTCAAAATTATTGCATGACCTTAAAGCTTCTCAAGAATTTATGCATGTTAATTTTATTCACTTTCAAGTTTTTCTTCTTCTTTTTTCCTTTCTAGTTTTGTGTTTTATTTATGTAAGAAGTTCAGGCCTTGACTGCATATTTCCATAGTGGGAACAGGTGCTCTTTTTTGCTGCTTTTTCTTGGTCTTCAGGTTTTCCTTGTGCTTGTTGAGCCTTCGGCACATGGCACGTGTTTTCTTGGGACGCAGGTCCAGGGGGTTATACTTCTTGCCCTTACACTATTTTCTGGTGTTCTCCTTCTGAGTCTGGTTGATAGCAGTGAGAACACGGGCAATGGATTGTCAGACAACTTGGATTTTGGAGAGCTTAGAAGCTGCACCCGCCTGCCACTTAGGCGATGTGCAGATGAAAAAGCTCCCTTTCAGCTCTTCCTTTCTATAATACTGTCCCTTACCCAGTCTCCTGTATTTTACTTTGAAGCAGTTGTTGTTGTTATGTGCCATCGAGTTGCCTGCAACTGATCGTGACCCAATGTACAACACCTCTGAAGCCCGTCCTGTCCTGAGACAGTCTCACTGTCTCTGACACACCTACCACTATTACCCGAGTTACTCTATCAATCCATCTCATCCGGGCTCCTTCTCTCCTGCGCTGTCTTTCCACCCTTCTGAGCATGATTTCCTTCTCCAAGGACCAGTCTCTCCTGGCCACATAACAAAAGTCTGTGAGATGGAGCTACAAAATCCTAGCCTTCAAGGAGAAACTTGGTTTTACCCTCTCTAAGCAGAGAAAAGGAATTTATCCACCTTATTCTTTTACCTGTGTGGAGCCATCCAACATATATTTGACAACAGTGCCTTGGCTTGTGATAATTCTTGATGCTTCCTGCTCCAGGGGTGGCATCACTGTTTTGTAGAAATCAGAGTGTTTCAGCCTCTGTGGGTAGCTCTGTCGGATCATGATGTCCCAAGTGGGTCCCTCATCACTGATATATTGATCTTAAAAGCAAAAAAAAAGAAATGATTCTGTGGATTGAGCAATGTTTTGGGCCTGAGATTTTGTCTTTTTACTTTTATTAGTTTCATTATTTTGTCTGAGTCAGGATAATAGCCTTTTCTCAATTTTCCTGGAACATAACTCAAAGCAGTTGAGTTTTGATGCCCTTATACATTCAAATATAGTAAATAAAAGGCATCTATAAGCACCTAATAAATGCCTTCTCCATGGGGGAAAAAATTTTCTATAGTGAAGTCCAGGAGACTTAGGGACAAAATAAAAAGGTTTTTTTTTTTTCTGTTTTGATGCACCCATATCCCCCCTTGCTCTTTTGCATCCGTTTTAATAATCCTTGCCACTGGGTACAAAATGTTCCCTCATATTTCCTGTTTGCCAAGAGCCCAGCAGAGGTCACTCACAGTCAGGCTTACCATTCCATAACAGTTTTCACCATATTTGAAAATTACTGAAGCTATGATCTCTGTAGAAAGAGGAAGGTAGGACTGTACAATATTTGTTAATGTGCTAACTTTGCTGTTATTGGGTGATGTAGGGCAAGTTACTGAACTGTCTAAAGCCTCAAATGCTTTATTTTGTAAAATAAGAATTATTTACCCCTAGCTCTTAGTATTCAAATTTTGTAACACTTTTAAAAAATATATGTATTAAGTACTTAATTTATTGCCTGGCAAAGTGTTAAAAATATTCACATTGTTACTGACACAGTGACTGCAGCAATAGGCTCAAGCGTATCAGAGATGGTGAGGATGGCATAAGACAGAATAGGGTTCAGATCTATTGTTTACTGGGTTACTCAACTGGAAGGAATCTAATAACAATACAACATACTTTTAAGGGAACTCTGGTGGGCTAGTGGTTAGAAGCTGCACTGCAATCCCAAAGGCATGTGGTTCGAATCCACCAGCAACTCCATAGGAAAAGGATAGGTAATCTCCTTTTGCATGATTTATTGCCTCTGAAAACCCACTGGAGGATCAGTTATGGACATTTATGAGTTGACAACACACAACAACAACAACAAATTTATTTAAGGGAGGTCTAGTAGCCTAAGAGTAAGGAGTAATGCTTCCAAGCCAACTGCAGGTGGTTTGAATCCACTAGCTGCTCTAGAGGAGAAAGAAGGGCAGTCTACTTTTGTGTGATTACTTATTTAAAAACATTTTTTATTATCAAGTATGTTTAAATCATAGGAAAATACACATTGTTTTATGATGTTTTAACTATTTTCTGTATTTTGGCCCCCTGTCTCTCTCCTACTTTATCCCCTCTAGCATTTACTTGAAAACTCTTGTCCAAGGAAGGTCAGTAGGAGCCCATTGGGGCACGACACATTTAGACTCTGAAAGCTAGGAACATAAGGAGTCTCTTGCACAACAGGTTCTGGTTCATCTTCTTCCTGTAAAATAAGTAGGTTAATAAAATATTAATAACTGTGTTTTCTGAAAGTGCTTATTTATTTCGACTGAATACTTACTAAGTGTTTAGGTTGTGACTTGCCCAGGTGATGTGACCTTGTAATGGTGTCTGCAAGTATGTATGTTTATATCCTACTTGTAGAATAAAGTACAGACATGTGAAATGGTTAGCTAATAACATAGATAGCTGGCACATCTTTTCTCAGGAAAGGAAGATCCTAACGTTAATGAGAATAACTGAGGAAGAACTCAAGTGGTAGTCGGGGCTTGAATTAGGTAGGCTTATAAAGATACTTTCAATTGAATGTCTAGATATAAGGGTTGGAAATATTCCTTAGAGGCAAAGATGATAAAACTTGATCTCATATAGTCCTTGGAAAAGGACATCATATTGGGAAAGGTAGAAGGTCAGTGAAAGAGGACGACCTCAAGGAGATAGACTGACACAGTGACTTCCACAATGAGCTTGAGCATGGCGGCCTCAGGAGGACAGTGTAGGATAGGACAAGGTTTCACTTGTTTGTAGAGTTGCTTTGAGTTGTAGTTGACTCTACAGCACCTAACAACAACCAACCATAGGGAAGAAGAGGATCCCATTGTCTTCTTCATGCAACTTTTCAAGTTTGGATGCTGAAAATAAGTTATTAAGGTATGTGTTCTTTTTTTTTTTTTGTAAGAAGTACTTGTTGCTTTTGTTTGTTGTTATGTGCCATTGAGTTATTTGTGACTCATAGTGATCCTATGTACAACAGCTCTGAACCCTGTTCTATCCTGAGCCAACCTGATTGTCTCTGATATACCTACCCTCATTACCACAGTCACTGAATCAATCCATCTCATTGAGTGTCTTCCTCTCTTGAACTGTCCCTCTACCCTCCCAAGCAAACCGTCCCTCTCCAAGGATTGGTTCCTCCTTGCAACATTCCCAAAGTACAATAGATGTAGCTTCAGAATTCTTACCTCCAAGAAGCAGACTGGTTTCACTCTCTCTAGGAAAAATCTGTTTGTTTTCCTAGAAGTCCATGGTATATTCAATATTCTTCTCCAGTACCAGAGCTCAAAGGCATCAATTCTTCTATTATCCCTAGTCAATTTTCCAGCTTTCTGATGCATGACAAGTAATTGTGAAGTCTATGGCCTGGATCAGGCACACCTTAGTTTCCAGATTGACTTTGGTGTTCCCTCAGCACTCTGGAGAAGTCCCTGACAGCCAACATTCCCAATGCAATTCATCTTTTGATTTCCTGGCTGTTGGTACCCAAGAGTGTTGTGGAGCCAAGCAAACTAAAGCTGTTAATAATCTCAACCTCTTTAATATTATGATGTTGTCAATGAGCCCAGTGGTAATATTTAAGTACAAACAATGAAAAAGGCTTTTTGTAAATTAACGAGAATTTGAGTGTGCCTGATTTAAAAATTTTAAATAGTTTCACGCTTATTTAGACCTGAATCCTTTGTTTGGTTATATGTACTCAAGAATGAAAATTATGTTTCTTTCAACAACCCTCTATTGATAACCCTTTCAGTTTTTCCAATTGATTTTCTGTTGTTAGTCACTAAAACAATTTTAAACATTGCCCCATTCCTGAACATTTAGTTTATTTTAACTATAAATTTCTATGTGTGTGTACTATCAAATAGGATCTGACTGGTACAGAGGGAGATCACCCCTGCTTCTCCAGCAGAGCATCAGGTGGATTTGAACTGCATACCTCCGGGATTGCAGTACGGCTTCTTGCCACTAGGCCACCAAAGCTCCCTCAGTTGCTATAATCAAAGAT